CTTCCTTGCTGGATATGGAACTGTAATTCATCCTCAACTCGATAGAAGATCTTTGTCTTTCTTCTTCTTCTTCCTGAAATGAAGAGACCACAAGAATTTTCGGTATTTGCAATTAAGTCCTTTTATTACTAGATTTTCTATAGGATAAATTATAGGAATAAACTATTTTTCTTTTCCTCTACAGAGAATCGTTTCTTCCATTGATTTTTTTTAAGACGTCAAGAAGTTTCGCAAGAGATCTCTCGAGTCGAAGAGGAGAAGCTCCTGTAGGAGCAAAGGCTGGGTCTGTTCACTTTTTCTCATCCCAAGTAATGTTATGAACTTTCACTCTCTATCTATACTATAACCTCGAGCCTCTTTCTCCTTTCTGTGCAATAGTCGTTGATTGATGTGATAAAAGAAGTACGATGTAGAATCGAACCACAATCTTTTCCCTTACATTGTGATTCAAGTTTGAATATTTCCCTTCTTTCTTATTTCAATGATATTATTAATTCAAATATAAGAATATGAAGTCAAAATTAGATTTTTTTTTAAATAAAAATAAAAATGTGACATTCTAAGGCGAAATTAACATATTAAACATCAAATTTCATTAATAACGAATGATTAATTCGTCAACTTTTACTAGTACAACTGCATTAGAACAATAAGAGATTGTTGTTTTCAAGAAGAGGAAACTCTTCCATGCAGAGACAGACCCAAGATTTGATGGTGGCAAGGGCACCATTGTATTTAACCTGAATTCATCATTCGACATTGATGAAAGCAGAGTTGTGCATCTGATTGGTTTGGTCGATATTGGCATTAATTCAGCATGACTTATTTGTTGTAAGTACATCTGATTTGTTTGGTCGATACTGTCTCATTGTGAATTTTGTATTTCTGATCTATTCTTAGTACGAAAAGAAAAAAGAGTTAGTGTTTTTTAGGCTATAAGAATAAGAAGTGGGATAAGTCTATGACTTTATAGTTCAAGACAAGCTCAATGGAGGAAGCACATATTGAAATTTCAGTTAGAAGCATAAGAAACTACATATATCAGATCGAATTTACTGGAAACAGGTCTTTAATGAAGGAAATTTTATATACTTATAACAAAGTCATTAAACTTTAAATGATTAATTAAATACTAGCTAGGTTTTAAACAATGAGTTTAAAATTGACTATTTGTGTACTTTCAGCCATTCTTTACGCAGCACAATCTATATATATATATATATAAAAGAGCAATAAAAAAGTGAGGTAGCGCCTCCTTTGGCCAAGGAACTCACTTATTTTTTTTTTCTTTTTTTTGGGCTTTTCCTCTAATTTTTTATTGAGTTTAAATGTCTTATTTTCTTTGTTCCAACTTGGAGAATTTAAAACGTTGCAACAATTAAACTAATGGTACTTACAACGATTGAATTGATACTAAAATGGGTTATTAAAGTTGCAACCATTGAATTGAAATAATGGGTCATTAAAGTTGCACCAGTGCTTCTTGGCTTGCAGAATAGTTTTTCCATATTCCAAGCTTAAGTTTTAACTTTCACAAAAAAATTTAATCTGATAGTTTGTACATTATTATGTGAGTTGATTGCATCTAAAAGTCAAAAGAACTTACTACACTTCTTGAGAAGAATCTACATCTGAAGAATTGAGAGAAGATAAGGCAATAGCTGAAGAAGAGAAGGCGCTTGCTTAGCAGAAAAAAGAAAACTAACGAGGCAGCGAAACTGATATGGGTTTACTACATCTTCTACATCTATTTTGAGTCCGTTCTCTTTATAAATCAAAATGTAAGACTCTCTTATGAGTCATTCTATATTTCACATGTTTTCCTTCTCCATTCTCATCAGTACTTCCCAATGAGCAGTTTATGGCACTGTAATAACGTAAGAGGTAATAATACATCGACAAATTGTATCATTTTATTAATTTCATGTTTTTTTGCAAATGAATATGTCTTTAATTTGACGATTTTTGGTTACTTAACTTTTTGATATCCTACTCTATGACAAATATTGAAAATATATGCGACATTTTCATCAAACATCAATAGACGACGCATACCCGATAATTAGTAAATATGATATCGTGGGAGGTGGAGTAGAAAAGAACTTTACCAAGCCAATAGAGTGACTTATTCTTGCAATAACTTTATTCTGCCTACAATGTTTAGGTTATCTTTTTGTCAAGGGCTACTTGAAGTGCTTGCCTTTGTCATTGAAGAAGAAGTTCACTACATGCATGTTTGGCACAATATTTGATTATGAGTGATGGTGAAGAAAAAGAAGAAAGAAAGGAAAAGGAACTCCATGTTTTAAAGTTTTAAAAAGGAAGAAGGGACGGATAAATAAGTACTCAAGTAAGAGAAATACATTTAGTTGATTCTTTTTTTTTTCTTCAAATTCCTTTTTTTTAATTATCTCTTTTTTCTATCCTTCTCTTTTTACTTCTTTGATTAATATTTATTTGAGAGAATTGAAAAACTGTCAATTTTATGAAACATATGTATGAACAATTAATACTTCGTAAAAAATAATAAAAAATACGGAAAAGAAGCCTTAGAGAAAGAAAAGAATGCAATCGATATCATAGATCCATATTCCCAGATTTTTGACTTATCATTTTTTCTCTTTTTTCATTATTCTTTCTTTAAAAAATTGTGTTTTCCTAATTCAAGTAACATGTATTTATCTAAATAATTTTAAATGAATCGTTTCAAAACCAAGGATATTCACAATTTGTCCCGTTAATTTATTTTATATATATAATATCTAAACAAAATCATGAAAGAATTTTACTGTAATTTTTTTAATATAGTGTTTTAAGAGAATCGTGAAAAGAGAGAAAAGATAATAAAATCATGCAAAAATGGTTGATTAGTAAACATTATTTGCTTATAGATATTATAACATTACTTTTTTATGATTTTTATTTTTATTTTTTTACAACCGCGCAAAGAGCGGGCAAATACACTAGTTATTAAATAAAAAAGAGATCACCAGTTCTATTTTCATAAGTCACAATGTATATGTGTATATATATATATATATATATATATATATATATATATATATATATATNCATGAATAAAATGTTGGTTTACAAAAATAACCTTTTAATATTAAGCATAATAACTCACAATAAACGGACATAATCGGAATTTTAGATATTAACCTTGTAATCCTAGTAGTTTTAGAACATAATACAACAGTTAAGAATCCTACCTGATTACCTTTAGAAATCCTATCATCCTTCAAATATTGAATTATTTTTCAAATCTGTTGGATAGAATTGCTATATTTATGACTTTCCAAATATTTAGACTTTAAATTCAATTAAAACTTCGTGGAATTGTTTTTAACTTTTAACCACTCAAGTAGATTCCCATAAGAATTTAAAACAAATTCAATGATTCCCATAAGAATTAAAAGCAAGAACGAGACTTTAATTTAATAGGTGTAGGAGTTTTTTTTTTCAATTGAAGCTATCAATAGTAATTATATAAAAATAGAAAAATAAGTATTAAAAAGACTTATTAGTTTCGAACATAGATATATAATACTGCATGTTAGCAAGTAAACCTAATACCTTTAGGAATACGTTAGATTTCCTATTAGTATAATTACTTTCGGGATATGGATATATTTTTAGCCATGTAATTCTATTACTTTTAGAATATACTTCTTATTATTATAAAAGTACGAATAAAATATTGATAGACCAAAATAGCTCTAAAATATTAAATAGAATAACTCATAGGAAAATGACATAACTATTATAACTTATTTTTTGGACTACAACAACTTCTATGTTAATTTTTTTTAATATTTAAGATTTTAAAATTAATACAATCTTGTCTATTGAATTCTTATTAAAATTTAAAAATATATAATCAATTTCGTAAGAATCCTCCATATTGGTAATACATTACCACTCGATAATATCCAATACCAAAAAATAAATAAAAGTAATATTAAACGTATTGCATAAAGCGTTGAAATTGAGAAAAACACTCTCACGATAATATAGTATTATATTATATTTGAACTGCTTTCCTACGTAAATATTATTATTATTATTATTATTATTATTATTATTATTATTATTATTATTATTATTATTATTATTATTATTATTATTATTAATTTTTCCTATAATATTAAAAAATATACCAATTATTAAAGAACAACTAAGAAAGTTTTTAAGGCGGTAAAAGTGTGAGAAAGAGAAAGAAAAATATTGGTAAGAGTCATTCCATTAATGATTTTGCAAACATAAAGATCTTAAAGTGTTATGTTAAATCGATCTTTTTACTCTTTAAAAACAAATTTATGGTGGATAAAATTATAATCACGGGTAAATATTAAACATGAGATGAACTATTAGGAATCTGAATCAACATAAATAAATTATTTTTTTATATTAAAAATAAATAATCAAATCATTAAATTAATTATTTAGCAAGAGAATCCAACTAAATTATATTTTTAAATTCATCATATGAGTAAAATTATTTTTCAACTTAAAAAAAATCTTATGGTACATAAATTTATTCCATAAAAAGAGTGTTAGAAATTTAAAAAAAAAATTAGATCACAAAGTAAAAAGATTAGTATAATATTAAGAAGGTCATACAAGTATTTGAGAAAGCACAATCAAAGATAAATCTTGAACAAGAATAAGTTTTCAAGACTATATTATAAAAAGCCGACTCTGGTATAGTGAGATTATTCTTTGTAGATGTCTCTGGTGGAATCAAAATAATATTCATATGTCATGAATTACTTGCAAATATCAGATCAATAGGCATGCTATTGTTAGCAATTAGAACAAATGGTGTACCATCAACAATTTTATTACTAGGTCGTACAACTCACTTAAAATTTGATATACCTCTTCAAATAACTGAAATAACCGTCACAAATATATCAAAGAAGAGAAGCAGTTCTAAATTTATAAGGAAAACAAAAGTGATAATATGGGAAGAAGCGGTTTTGGCTAAGCGTCAAATGGTCGAAACAATTGCCCAGAGTTTTAGAGATAGATTGGATATAAATGAACCATTTGGTGAAAAAGTAATAGTTTGAGAGGTGATTTTTGTCAAGTATTATAAGTAGTTCCAAAATTGACAAAAGCAGAAAGTGTAAAAGCTAGCTTGCCAAAATTATACTTACGGCCTCAAATGAACAATATTCAAATGACAAGAAATATAAATATAAGAACAAATCCAACATTCAATGACTTCTTACTTTGTGTCGGAAACGAAGAAGAGCATCCAATAAAAAATGATTTGGTTCTTCTAGCACTTGGTTATCAACCCTAATAGTAATATTAGTGCATTTAATAAGGAAAATATGTCAATCATTAGATTGAAACGCAATTTGTGCAAATTACATTATAAAAATTAAAGAGCTATCTTAGCTAGCAAAAATGAATATGTTGATCAACTAAATAAAATGTTGATTGCTAAGTTTTATGATAAAAATAAAATATTTTTTAGTTTTAACTCAGCAGAAGATCGATAATACCAATAATTGCCACCAAGAAGAATACTTAAATATTTTAATACCAAATGGTCGTCTACCATACATGTTTGTTGTCAAGTTTATTATTTCTTACGTATGTTAGTGTCACCCTATATATATTAGACTAAGTTAAAATTGATCTTGCATTGCATATAGGTTAATTTTGAAGAAAAATATGTCTGTTCTGCTACTAAAAACTTATGATACTGTCAATGTGCTTTTAAGTATGTGTTTATCCCCGAATTCAACTTTCATCTTTCGAAACTAAAGAATATCATTTTAAATTTGTGTCAAAATAATTTTTAGTATATTTATGTTTTGTAGTTATTTAAATAAAGCGCAAGGACAAACACCTTAAATATTGGACTATATTTACAACAATATGTTTTCTTCCACAAATAATTTACATGTTGCACTTTCAAGAGAGATATCAACATCGACAACAACAATTCTGGTTATGACAGAGCAACCAAAGTATTAGAAGGAAACATACACAAAAAAACATCGTCTATAAAGAATTGTTCGGTAAGATACCATCACATTAGATACATCTAAACTACAATACATAATTTTCTACTTAATATGACTAAAATTGATCATTCATGTAAGTTGTGATGATATCCTTTAATTTTGGATGCACATATTATACTAATATAACAATATTTTTCGGCATTTAGATGATTTTTGTATTATTATTTATAAAATATCTCCCATTAATTAAATTTTATTGTTCCTTCATATTAATAAATATTTAAATAATCACTTTTGCATGTTCAGATAACGATGTCCAATCATTTTGAATTCACATCTTATGCTAATGTAATGATATTTTTCGACATTTAAATGACTGTTGTACTCTATATAATTCTCTGATTACTTAAATTTATATATATATATATATATATATATATAGGGCTAACCTACTACATAGTTGTAGTAGGTTAGCATTGTATGCATCTTTTAGTTCTCCAAATTACCCCTGCCATCACATTAAATAAGAATAATTAGAGGGACCTTTTCGTCTTTTTGCTCAAAAAATCAAACCCAATTTTCTCAACCTCTTTCTCGGCTGGTCTTCCTTCTGTTTCCTTGATGGTGAATTCAAATCCAAAATGCAACTGTAATGCATTGAACCAAATGGCAGATCACTTAATTTATCAGTTGTTGGTTCTATTGGTAGTTAAAAATTAGTATTAATATTTACTGTACCAAATATGATCCATTTTTCGAGCAGCATATTTGAATACTATTGGAAGTGGAAAAAGTGAGTCGCACAAATAACGAGGGACTCTTCAAAGGCTCGAAACTTTAATTCTTTGCTCTCAGTTCTCAAATTTGATCTTCCACTTAAAGCCTTTTGGTATATCTGAATTGAGGGATGCTAGCACACAACTGAGAGATAAAACTGGAGATGGAGGAGGTGTATCGAGAGAAGGAATTGGAAAATTTAAGTGAAAGACCAGAAAGGGCCTAAAAGTCCTTATATTTAATGTGATGGCAGGGGTAACTTGGAGAACTAAAAGATGCATACAATGCTAACCTACTACAACTATGTAGTAAGTTAGCCCTATATATATATATATATTGACAAAGCTGGAGGAATTTTGTTCTAAAATTAAATTTGTGCGACTCAAATGGACGCTGAAGCCTCTCTTAGAACAGAGCAGCCCTAGCTTGCCACAAGATCTCATCATTGAAATCCTTGTAAGACTTCCTGTGAAGTCCCTCTTACAGTTAAAGTGTGTTTCGAAAGACTGGCTTTCTTTAATACCTAGCCATGAATTTGTTAATACACATCTTAGTTTTAATTCTAAGGATTGCACCCGCCATAGGTTGATGCTGCAATTTATGACTTATCTTAAACATTGTTCTGTTAGCCTTTTATTTTCTGGGTTTTCTACTGATTCATTTGACTTGGATATTCCTACGAAAACTCCCGATGATCGTTTTGATGTTGTGGGTTCTGTCAATGGGTTGATTTGTCTTTCCATTGGGTTTAAATGCTTGGTTCTGTGGAATCCATCAACTAGAAAATTTAGGCATGTACCTGATATTATGAATATGCTTGCATTGGATTTTGTGTGTCAGTACATGTATGGTTTTGGATATGATGAGGTTAATGATGATTATAAGGTAGTGGCTGTTTTCTCTGAACTGACTTGTGCATGTGTCAGTATATATAGTTTAAAGAATGATTCTTGGAGAAGACTTGATGATATTCAAGGGCTGGTGGCGTACAATCGTTGGCCTAAATTGGTGAGTAGGAAGCTTCACTGGGTCAATGTGGGTGAAGGTAGGACCATCATGTCTATTGATTTGGTTGATGAGAAATATGGAAAGGTGGAGCAGCCCCTCTATGAAGAAGGGCAGAAATTTTTGAAGCTTGGAGTGTTGGGAAATGATTTTTCTGTTCTCTGTCATTATTACCTAATTCGAGCTGATGTGTGGGTTATGAAGGAGTATGGGGTTAAAGAGTCTGGGATAAAACTGTATACCTTCAAATACCATAATGCCCCAGAGCCAGCTGCTTTTCCCACCCATTTGCATGTCAAGTAAAGGTGAAATATTGCATGTGTTTGATTTCATTTTAGCGATATACAATCCAGAGAATAACTTAATCACATATCCAACGGTTACTAATGTTGATGACAGTCTTGCGGTGGAAGCGGAACTCTACATTGAAAGCCTGGTTTCTCCTATTTTACAAAATAAATCAACAGCACAAACATTGCAGGGTGCAAAAACCCAGGTGAACGACAGTTGTGTAGGTAACAACTTGTAAGACTTTTTGCGTGTTGTTCAATTCTGCTTCTTTTGTCAAATATCGAACAATATATTCCATATTTAAAGGCCATCTTTACAAAACATCTGCTTAAGTATCTTGGTAATCCTTTTTGTTGTTGCATATTTCCGAGGAACAACAACTTTTGCTAGAACATTTTTGGTTGTAGTGTCTGGTGCTTCTGCATTCTAAGTAAATTACATGGGACATTCTCTCTCTTTTAAGCAGTGTTTTAAGGGTATATGTTGTTCCACTATACAAAGTAAGACTAAGGCGAACTTGATTGCTAATAATAATTAGCTTATATAGTCCTTGGCAGGGTCGTTGTTTGATCTAGGGCTTTCTTTAATGTTCGTTTTTAGTGACACTTAATGAAGAGGCGGAGGAATCTCTGAAATAGTTAAGTTCTGAAATATCATCAAGTTTGGGTGTCTTTTGTTGCTGTTAATAGCTTACAGTTGTTTCTTTATGCCTATCTAATCATTTTTATTAATTATTTGGTCAATCAAAAGGCTGAATCTTCTTCTCTTTGGTGATACTATAGATTAAATCCATGAAAGTAAAAGCATCTTGCAAAAGGGAAATTAGTCTCTTAGGCAATGTTACATCTCACTCTGGCAGAAATACGCAAGCTCGCTATATGCAAACAATAAACTGGGTTCAGGTATCCCTTCTATAGCCAAAATGAGAACCTCCAAGCAATGCAGTACCTCAAACTTTTCTAACTGACCATTAGTTCATCTCCAAGTTTGATTCCTTCTCCTTATTAGACATCTCATCAGATTGTAATTACGTCAGCAACAACTGGGAACTTCATTGTTAGCTCTTTGACAAGAGTGATTACAATCAGCAGAATATTAACATGGAAAGCAGTAGTAGCATCAACCACTGCTCACCAAAATGGCTGCTCAAAGCTTTTCTATTTGGAGTACAAAGCGCATCGTGTATATTGTCGAATAGTGTAAACGTCTCATTTAAAAAAATTTAAATATCTGAGAGGGTTCATTTTTTTTATATTTATTTTAGGTCTTAAACACATACTCTTATGTGTTAGTTTCTATAACTTAAGGCATTATGCTTCGTTCTAGGGCAATTCTGATTCCTGTTATAAGTGCAAGAAGTTCAGTGTATATATTCATAGCATGTGGAATGTGCTGACTAAATCCTGCAATCCAGTTCCCCCTTGTGTCTCTGATCACTCCCCCTATTCCCCATTTTCCTGGATTCCCCATTTTGATTTGTACAAATCAAGCTCCCCCCGGTTCTTTCTAGTGATTCTATCTCTTATCATAGGGAAGCGCAAGTATTTACCAAGGTTTTGAGTAAATTTCATAGTCATACATTTGGAGATCTGTCCCTTAATTGCCATTTTGGTATTGTTCGAGAGGACAATTTTGGACTAGTCAAAGTTTGTACTTTGTCCCGATAGAGAGCAGAGTTTAGTAAGTTGTTACGCTTTTCTTTGGTTGCTTCAGCAAGTAAGATCAGGTCATCAGCAAAAGGAACCGGACTTAGAATCTTATATCGGTTTCCATTTCCTTTGGTTAACTTGTTCCATTTCCATTTCTCTTCTGTTATTTTCTTGGATGTACTGGTGTACTAAAAGTAGTACATTATTTATTCAATACAACCCTAAATCAAAGGTATAATGATATTACTAAATAGTAGTATATTGTTTGTTAAATATGCACGATATTACCAAATTCTGAGGCATACTTATGCACTCAATGTAAACCTAATTTAAGAGATCTGAAAATTTGAAAGAAGAAAACGAACGAGAGGAAACTTGATTGTTGGACATCAATTATCATTACATCAGGTGAAAATACTCTTTAACATAAGTACATAACCAAAGAAAAAATCATTACATCAGGTGAAATACTCTTTAACATAACCAAAGAAAAAAAAAAGAACTTACATTTCCAACGCTTACATCAATTTGAATAATCTCTTTCTTATACTCTGTCTTCAGTGGCTGAGCTGCAGGAGTGAAGTGCACCAAACAGATGAAATTGATTGCTAGATTGTACTGTAAGTCTGTAATTAATGTTAGCCCTTCAAAGATAATGACTGCGCAACATAACATATTCCTGGACTAACTTTAAATATCATATTAAAACACATTATGTACAACAAGAAGTCAATCCATGTAGAGGAAAGGATTTGGCAACTTTAGTTGTTTGGTTAAAAAAAATAAGGATGATGAAATAATACAAAATAGCTGCATTCGTTTTTGAGCTTTGGACTAACCGTTAAAAAAGTAAAAGCCAGGTTAGATAAATTAGCCTACGCACTCAAATGTGTGTGAGCAACACAGCAGTTGCCGTGTAAGTGTTTCATGTTTAATAGCACACTTTAGTGGTAGTTCAAGTGTCTAATAGGTCACAACCTCAATTGAGGTATCTAAATGAAAAATCTTGACAACTTTAGGGGGCTGTCAATGGAACTGGCCTTGTTAAAACAAAAGGCAACAAAATTTTAGTAGTAATATTAAGAGGACTTAAATTGTGTGCATATTAACGGTAAGGGGTGTATCTGGAGTCAATTAATGAATTTTGCTCCCTCCAAAATATTATAAATTAAAACTGATTCCGAATCCCAAAAAAAAAAGAGTTTCAATGTTGACAAACCCTAGCTTGCCCCGAGAACTCATCGCTGATATCCTTGTAAGGCTTCCTGTGAAATATCTATTGAAGTTTAAGTGTGTTTCAAAAGACTGGTTTGATTTAATATCTAGTCCTGAGTTTGGATTGCACCAGCCATAGATTGATGCTGAAATTAGATAAATTTGATTCACTTAAGCTCAAATGTCTTGAGCAGAATCTTAAACATTGCTCTGTTAGCTCTTTATTTTATGGGTCTGTTACTAAGACATTTGACTTGGATTATCCCATGAAAAACATCCATAATATTGTGGGTTCTGTCAATGATTTAATTTGTCTTTGCATCGGGAATGATGGCTTTGATTCTGTGGAATCCATCGACTAGACAGTTCAAACAACTGCGTATGAAAAGATGTTAAGTTACATGTACATCTTTGGTTTTGGATATGATAAGGTTCATAATGATTATAAGGTTGTGCATGTTTCCTCTAGATTCACTCATGGCTATGTGGATATATATATAGTTTAAAGAGTGATTCTTGGAGAACACTTGATAACTTTCAAGGAGGGTTGTTGTTCGATAGTTCAGCTAAGTTGGTGAGTGGGAAATTTCACTGGGCAACTATGGGTGGTGATGGTTGGGGCATTATGTCTATTGATTTGGCTGATGACAATTATTGGAAGATGGAGCAACCCCTCTACGAAGAAGGATAGTTTCATTTGAAGCTTGGAGTGTTGGGAACTGATTTATCTGTGCTCCGTAATTATGAGCTAACTCACAGCTGATGTGTGGGTTCTGAAGGAGTATGGGGTTAAAGAATCTCAGACGAAATTGTATACCATCAACTATCTTAATGACCCTAAATACTGCGTGCTTTCTCCACCCATTTGCATGTCAAAGAAATGTGAAATTTTGCATGTGTTTGAGTCAACTTTAACGATATACAATCCAGAGGATGAATCAATCAGACATCCAGTGGTTACTAACGTTTATGACAGTCTTGAGGCAGAACTCTACATTGAAAGCCTAGATTGTCCAATTCTACAAAATGAATCAACGACGCAACATTGAAAGACTGCAACAACTCAGATAACTGACCGTTGTGTAGCTAACAACTTGTAAGTGTTCGTACATTTTTCATGTGTTGTTCAATTCTGCTTCTTTTGTCAAATATGAAAAAATGCATTGCATATTCAAAGGACCATCTTTACACCACATCTGCTTAGAGATTTTTGTTGTCCTTTTTATTTTTGAGGAACAACTTCTTACAAGAACATTTCCCATTGTAGTGTTTGGTGGCTTCTGCATTCTATGTAAAAGACATTGGACATTCTTTCACTTTTTAAGCAGTGTTTGAAGGCTACATGTTATGAGTTTAATTTGTGGCTTCAGATCCTATGTTTCTTGTGATTTTTGGAGTTTTATAGGGGCTGGGTCCAGAAAATAATTAGGTCAGAAATATGTGTATGGTCTTGGCAATCTGGCACGCGTTCATCTTATTTCTACAGGCATGTTGGTGTATCCTCTTCAACGTGCTGATTTGCTTTATCCAAAATATTCTGAAATTTTCATAATTTTTTTTCACTTCATATTTTTCCCCTTTACAGATAGGAAGATTAACTTCTCTGTATTTTTCAATCTATACACTCCTGTGTTGTTTTTTCATTTACTTTGACATACTTTGCTTCCTTTTATTCAACTGTTATGAAACCTTGATCACCTCTAGATGTAGGAAGCAATGATATTCTTTCATCCTGTCAATAAAATCTTCTTCTTTGGGTCAGGATATCCTTGCATGAACTTTCACATCCTCAGATTTATTTTCTTTGTAATGTAATAAAAGGCACACGACTCGTGAGCAAACTAGAGAATTTACATGAAGATTTCTCTTGGTTATGTCTCCGTAAAAAGTTGAACCTATGGCAAACTGGTTGATGTGTGCTCATTTACAAACTAACCTTTAGGGGCGTAAAAAAACTGGTGCTTAGCTCTTACATTGCCTTATCAATAAGAACGACAACTTATACATTCGTATTGTCAATGATTGCAGGTTGATGTGTTGTATCATGCACGTGTGCAGGGAAGCAAACTAACAACCTGATGCTTTGGCAAACAACTCTACTACTACTACCACCACTATAACTACTTCTACTTGTATTAGATGCAGTTGATCTACTGCTACTACCATTGTTATGAATAAATGTCCGTACTTGCCCGTAACAGTGACCAGGAGGGGCTAGTATATTATAATACCCCTCAAATTTTGTTGTTGATCAGGTCACTAAGGACTCAAATTTTGTTGTTGATGCTACTTAATGTAATACTATTTGTTTAAGCAGAGACGAGAAAAGAAAGGAAGAAAAGCTCATAAATTGAAGAACAGAAGATTAATCTTTCTAGGCACAGAGTCATACATATTTATGCATCCGCATCGACGAGACATACCATTGTTCCCTCTGAGTTTTAGTAGAAATATCCAACTTTTTCGTTTCTAATCACCTGTTGTATTTAGGTACTGCAATTTTCAGCTCATCTTTAAGCCCTTTCCCCTCCTACAATTTCCTTAAACTTTTCTGCTATTTTAAGAAACATAAAGAACCGCATCGAAAAGTTGTTCCCTTGTTTTCCAAACAAGATGACAACTGAAAAATATCAAATAGTATACTAGAATATGGGCTGTCAATGGTAGATATTTCTCAATCTCAATCAATCACGGTAAAATGTTACTCAACTTTTCTTCTATTCACAAAAAAGCTACAAACACATGTACAACATTCATTATTTGTTTTTTTTCCTGTATGCTAAAAATCATACATTGTAAACCATTCCTACCTCTAAAGTAGAAGCATGGGGTACACTTAATGTGTATGTAGGTGGTCTACTGTTCCTTCTCAAAAAGTCAAATCCAAAATTTATAACTATTTTCTTAAATAAGCTAGATCCTTGTTTGGCTCTTACATAGGAATGTCCCAATATGTAAGCTATGCCTGCTTCCCTTGCTTCCATTAGTTCGCGCAATTCCTCTTGCGCACCTCTATCAATCTTGGGAGATTCCGGTATGACAAACCTCACCCTTTTCTTAGGCTTGGTTACGCGTGGAGAAAGTATTTCTTTACGCTCTGATGGTCCAACTAATTCAGCATTTACATCCTCATCCTCACAAAATTGAACTCCTGATAAATGAGTAGAAGGCGTTCCAACAACAGTCATGTCCTCGAAATCCTTTCTAAGATCCTCGCCGTTAACATTCAACCTTGTCTTTCCTGTTCGTATAAACTCTGCTATGCTACATACAAGATCATTCTCAAATTCTGAATCATCCTTGTGAGCATCGCGATAACCATACCTGACAATGCACCTGTACATGCGGTACTCTCTTGGGCCAATGTGTCCAACCAGGAAACGCTCCTCATGTTTAACATGAGGAACTGGGACAGATTTGACACAAAGGAAAACTAAGACCTGGTGGAATGCCGGAAGATTGGTAACAAAGTGTGAAAAGATTGCTGGGATTCCGGATACAAGCTCAGTGTGTATGAGGCCAATGCCACGAACCCGTACAATGCCTAGACTGGGACCAAGACCGAGTAGCCACTCAACAGAGACCTTATTTTGGACATCAAATTCGTACTTCTTTAAAGAGCCGTAGTGCCAAATGCACATTACTATCATGAAAGTAAAAGCCATTGCAATAGGCACCCATGCTCCTCCCAAAAATTTAATCAGAGAAGCTGAGAAATATAAGGCTTCAATCATCCCAAAGAATATAACAAAGCAAAGTGCAAGGATGACACTCTTGCGCCAGCACAAAACAATCACCAACGACATCAAGCAAGTCGTAACCAGCATGACAGTTATGACTGCCAAACCTGATATGAAGCAAAATTAGCGAGGATTAGTAATGAATATCATTCAGCATGGGAAACAGTCTTTTCTTCTATGAGATCCTCGTATCCATTGTGTAAATAAGTGCGAAATGAATTTCAAAAGAGTAAAGTTGTATCCGTATGACCTATAGGTCATGGGTTCGAGCCGTGGAAGCAGCACTAACGCTTGTATTAGGGTAGGCTGTCTACATCACACCCTTGGGTGAATGCAGGATGTTTTATGCACTGGGCTGCCCTTTACAAAAATTTCTGCAGAGGGAAATTGAACATGAAAATTGGTCCCCCTTGAGGAGGGGAACATATTCAAGAAACAACTTTGTTTTAGGAGGACTCCAAGTGCATGGAAAATTGTGACTGGAATATAAAATTGAGCAGTCAATCAAGATTGAATCTCTGGAACTCCAATAAAGGCATTTCAAGTTTAACACTACATCCAAGAAGGATAAATGATTTCGACTAATCAAAAATTTACTTTCCCTTATTCATATCATTACATTCATACCTGAAGCATTGCCCATCTTTTTGGTGTCTCTAAAGCCAATAGTAACAGCCAAGCATAGTAGCATTAAGGTCCAATTAATCTCTGGAATATATATCTGTCCATGTATTTTAGATGATGTATTCACTATTTTGACTCTAGGAAAGCAACCCAACGAGGAGCATTGTTTAATAATTGAAAAGGTTCCAGTGATGATGGCTTGGCTCCCCACCACGGCAGCAAGTATAGCAATCACCAAAACAGGCAACCTTAGTTTCTCTGAAACAACAATGAGATGTCCTTCATCAGCTCAATTTCCTTCTAGCTTATTCTTTTCCCCGTAGAAGCAACTAGGAAAATACATACCTGGTACAGAAACATAGAAGCCTATTCGGTAGCTTTCATTTTCAATAACATGATGCTGTGAAAGATAAGCAGCTTGTCCCATATATGCAAGAATCAGTGATGGATAAACCATGAAGGTAAAAGCAATCTGCAAAAGGGAAATTAGTTACTTAGACAATGTTATATCTCACAAGCCGCGCTATATGCAAACAATAAGCTGTGTTCACCTTTCTCTTTTTCTATAGCTAAAAAGAGAACCTCCAAGAGCTGTAGCACCTCAAAACAATTCTAACCAACCTTTAGTTCATCTCTATCCCTCTCTTGATTAGACATTCTCATCAGATTGTAATCACATCCATTTAGTCAAATTGAATCTGAAAGTTGGCTAAATTCTTCACTCATAGAAAGCAAAACAAAGGGGCCAGTCTTGGTCGTGCAGGGGCAACCCGATTCGGATGCCACGAAAATTTAGAAAGGGTGATACTGATAATAGAATGTCAACATGCAAAGCGGTAATAAATCCCATGGAAATTGAATGAGTAAACTTAGAATCAACCTGGTCACAGACGCTGCTCAAAGCTTTTCTGTTGGGGGTACTAAGGGCATTGCCTATATTTTAGCTGAATTGTTTAACCGTCTAATCCTAAAGCTTAAACTATTGGAAAGGTTCCGTTTTTATTATTTATTTTAGGTCTCCAACACATTCCTTATGTGCGGGCCTGATTCTTTTTCTAAGGCTAGGCACATGAAAATATTTTCTGAGGGGTCATGTTGAGAGTTGAACTTGAAACTACAACCATCTCATGTAAAAGCTTAAGCTATTAGAGATGGCCTGCTTTATTATAAAATAACTTTAGCCACCTCTGATTAACATTTATACAAACTTCTACTTATTTCAGCGCACCTAAGAGACTAAATTCAAACAAAGGAAAAAAAGTGGACCATTGTCACACTTCTGGCTTCTCATTTTTGTTTATACTGTATCAAATATGCACCCTGTTATTTAGCAATTAGTTAGATATCTACCTGTATTGACAACTGGGAGAAGTGTCCTAGATCAGCAAACATTGCTTCAGAACCTGAAAGAATATATTTGTGTATTTAGGGATCATACCAAAGGAAGATAAGTAGCAAATTAATCATAAAGCAACTGACAACTATATCTTGCCTGTTATGCACAGGAGGATCCCTCCCAAGGACATCCAGCCTCGTCTTTGAGTTTTTTTCAGGAATTTGTACATGTAATGTGGAGACAGTGCTCGATACACATGGCGATCCCATTGTACAATATTATATACACCAATAGCACTGATACACACAAGCCATGTTATGACAACAGGTGCAAACAAAAATCCAACCCTGTGGGTGCCGTAATGCTGAAGGGCAAACAAGGCTATCAGTATGACACAAGTAAGTGGAACTTCTACATCTGCAAATGACATTTTAAAAGGGTAGCATGTCATTTTGAGCATAGAAATCAAATACTATTTTGATTAGACGATTTTAAATAAAATAAACAAATCAAAAGGAAAGAAAACAACAGAGTAATGTAAGCTTAATTTCCTTAATCAAAAGTAGAGTCTCAAGCTTAGCATATATCACTCAAATGGTAGGAAGAGAATTCTAGATGCTCCTTCATGATTAAGTAGGCTGTAAACCTATTGGAATAGACATTTTAAGTTATGAAGATCTTGAAAGTAATGCGAGCACGAATGATTTGGCCTAAGACTATCCATGACCTGGTTAGATAACCAGCCATTAGCATAGAAGTGATTGACAAGTAGGGCAGATATTTGTTCCTCATTTATATTTATTATTGTGGGGAAGTTGGACTGCATTTATGTATTCTAGAAAATGAGACTGCTGCCTGGTCAAGCAGAGAAAGCTAATCTGCCATCAAACCAATTGGCCAAAACTTTTTTTTTTTAACTCTTTAACCGTCTGGTATCCAGAACCATTGGCCTGACTAATCCAGATTCGCCCCGCATAGAGCCCACTTAAGGGGATGCTTGCCCTATGAAGAACTTCTCCAGTCCTAGGATTTGAATCCGAGACCTCTGGTTAAGGGTGGAGGGATGTGTTTCTTACCTGAAGAAGAAGGGTTTAAATGTTAGGTGGTCTTAATGACTTCCTATCCACCATCCAGAAAATCCATGTGGCCACGAAATTAATGGGATAACAGACACTCACATGCTCAAGTGGTTTGGTGGAAAGGTTACCATAAAATAGTGGCAATACTATTGTGTTTCTGAAAAATATTGGACAGTGGCAATAATATTGCGCATCTGAGGATATTTCTGGTCATACTCTGCCAACGTCTATTTATTGCCCCTAACTTATGAAAAGAATCAACTGGTTGCTCCTAAATACATTCGCTCTCCTTTGGAATCACAGAATAATCTGGATAGACTTGTGCTCGGAGAATATACAGGACGCTGAAAGGAATAAACTAAAATCAAATATTGATTGGCTGATCATTTTGCATTTACATCTATGCTTGCATATTTGAACTTATATTGATGATATTGGATGCTCCTCCTTAATCGAGAGTCATGCCTTTTGACTGCATTTGCTCCCATCAGATGGAATTGATCATCAACGGACATGTTAATTAGCATATAAGATCACCACGGGTTTCAAGAAGTTGGGAATCTGTTTGAGTCCATATATGACTTCAAAACATGCAC